AGTTGTCGCCCTCCGAGCCAGAAAAGGGGCGGTTTGGGAGAAGACTTAAAGCCGGGAGTGTGAGGTGGAGCGAGGAGAAGAGGAGGAGAGCGCGCGGCAGCAAAGTCTGCGCAGCCGCGCAGCCGCGCAGCCCTGCAGCCCTCAGTCCCCAGCCCCCAGCCCGCCCCTCGCGAAACCCCAGCCCGAGAGCTGGGCGGGGCAAACTGGCGGCGTTCCCCCAGGGACGCGACCCAGGACACCGGCAAAAGCAGCCATCCCTGATCCGCTCGCACAGACCCTTCTGGTCCCTGCTGCTCTCTGCCCTTGAGTCATCCCAGGGGTAAATTTCAGATGCATCCCCAAAGAGACGCTATTTTTTTTTTTAACAGAGACGCAGTTCTTAACCACTTGTGAGTCAGACAATTATGACTGAGCCAGGAGGCTCATACTGTAACCATTTGAAGCTACTACATGGTTTAAGTTCTGCTCACGGCTGGAAAGGTCCACGAGTGGTGGCAGAAAAGGAGAAGTTGGTTTATTAAAGAGGCCTGTACCTTGGGAAGATAGTGAACTAATGTCCTAAGACTGTCTCCAAGTTGCCAGATGAGGAGATGATTTTAAAGGCAGTGCCAGGGACGGGGCTAAAGTGTGCGCCCTCAGCTTGTGCACAGTTCTCCGGTTGGTTGGCATCAAGGTGAAGTTTCAAGCATCACGCCATCTTATATTTTCAGCCAGTCCAGGGGTCTATGAGCTTGCATTCAGCAGTTTTATCCGGTGGGGGTTGGCTTCCGGGACATGTAATTTGGGAATGTGGATCAGATCTTTATATCTTTCAGAAACTCGGAATTCAGTGACACTGCTATGTGGCTAGTCGATAATCTAAATTGTTACCACTTTCCCAGCCCAACAAGTATTCTTAGTTTCTCCATCTTTACATATATTAATCTTTAATTGGGGGGGTGTAGTTAGGGGTTTTAAATTATTTATTGATTGAAAATGGAGAGACTGAGAATTGAACACAAGACCTTGTACATGCCAAGCACCTGCTCAACCACTGAGCTATACCCTCCTCCCCATCATTAACTCTTGAACCAGACTTTTGAGACTCATAGGAGGCCTGGTAGAGGCCTTTAAAGCTTTTATACAAACACTGGACAGGCAGGGGATATGGTGGGCTGGGTGTCTGTCCTGAGAAGGCCCCATAGGGTCCTGCTTGGTTATAACACTATTCATTAACCATCTCTCCACCGTCCCAAGGAGCCCAGTGCCTCCAACACCTTCCAATCTGTGAAGGGATTCTAATTACACCTTCTACCAGCTGGCACCTTACCCCTTACCTGAGGACACATCCAAGCAAAAGCCTGGGAACCCGGCCCATGGTTCCTGAAGGAGGAGGGATGGGAAGCACAGGTTCCCAGCGTCTGACCCAGGCAGTGAGGGTGAAGACGGGTGCTCCCTCTTCTACCCTTTGGTCCCAGATTCATATTGTCTAAAGACTGGGGAGTCAGCATCCTGTAATGGTTATTGATTAAGACAGGAGTTGGCAAACTTTTTCTAAAGAAGGCAGAGAATAAACATGTTTGTCTTTACAGGCCATGTGGTATCTGTCTCTGTGCACCAGGGGCCTCCACCTTTGTAGGAAAAAAGCAGCCAAAAACAATATGCAAACCAACGGGGAATCAGATTTGCCCACAGCCCTGGTTTTGCAACCCCAGTATTGGGTGCCCCAGCCCCGAGGGAATCATCCAAGGGGTGCCTTACCTGTGTCTTTTATAACCAGGACCTTGCCCTGTCCCGACTGTGGCTTCTGGGTGCTGTGAATGTGATAGGACCGTGGGTCCTGCAGATATGGGCTAATTCTACCCCTCTTTTGCTATAGAGTGGCTCCTTGGTCCAAGGTACCATAGGAACGCTCGTGAAGCCATAAGTGTGAGGATAGCGTGAGTGGTCCTGTGACATTCCTGGTGTTGGGTCTTGACCACCCAGTGGAGCAGCGTGTTTGATCCCTGTGTCCCTGCTCATGCCAAAGCAGATAATCACTTCTATCTTATGACAACTGGCCTCTGATTAGTGGGTTGATGAGCCCAGTTCATGATGGGCAACTCTGACATTCCATGGCCAGAGGTTTCATCTCCACCAGGCCCAGGGACCATACCAAGGGATACTTTTAAATGGTGTGGGTTTCCCCATGCAAATGGCATGGCCTTGCTTCAGAACACTAGGGATCTGTGTTGTGAGCCTCCAAGTAGAAATGCCATGTACTGCACATAGCACCTTTCCGACCACAGGTACCTCTAATAGCATGCGTTCTACTGGGTCCTCTGCCCAGGAAGCAGGACCAGTCGCACACTATTCACGTAGTGTCTGTGACTGCTTGTGTGCTACAACGGTAGCTGCAACAGAGACCCATGGTCTGCAACGCCTGATATATTTACTATGTTCCATTACAGAAAACCTACGGGCCACACTGGCAATTAAATGGAGATGGGGTAGGGACCACAGCCCTGCATCCTTACAGAGGTTATAGGCTGGTACTCACTTCTGTCATTTCCTCCAGACAATGATATTGTTTTCCATGTGCAACTTGAGGGGTGGCGAGGCAGTGTGAGAAGCCTGAATTTGGAAATCACTAGTATAGTAGTCCTCACCCACGGTAATATACTAACTACAAAGATTTTCCGTTCATGTTACAACTCCAGGGCTTGTGAAATGACCACTGTGTAGATCTGTGGACCCTGTGGCAACACTGTAAGCGGGACTGGAGACAGATGTCTAGTCAGTACCTGGCCCTTCATACATCATCTCAATAACAGGAGGACCATAATGATGCTTCAGGTCCCTGGACAGGGCGTCACTCACACACTGGGTCCAAAATGAATCTGTGGGTAGCTTCTGCTTCCGAGTGTATGCCTACCCAAGTCATTGGCATGTGGCTCCCAAACATGGGGAAGGCCAGAAGGACTTATGCACTCTCTGTGGTGATCAAAGGGCCCTCCTCCTTGGAACCTGGTCTATCTGTCTCTAGTAATGGATTCTGGGTGTGAGAACCAGCTCAGTTCTGGAAACTGGGCTTGGTTGGGATGGCTGCATTCAGCCTCCTGATCACACATCCTTATGTTTTGTCTCTCTTTTACTTGTTTCAATCAAGCAGTTTTCATCCAGACTGGCTGCCCATCTGTTGCCTCTGGGACAAGCCTGCTCTATCAGCCATCACCGTAGCTGTCTGCAGTCAGGCCCCGGCTGGCCTTCCGGCCTTTCTAATCACGGGGAGCACTGCACCTGCTTGGCTCCTGACCTGGAGCACCTCCACCTGGCTTCTGCTATGTCAGCATTTTCCATCTCTGCTACCGCTGGAAGCCCACTGGGAACACCATCTCCTACCGCCATTCCTGACCTTCAGCAAAAGTCACCCTTGAGCTGTTTGAGAGGCTTCTCATCCGTGCTTTCCTCGCAGACTTGATGGAGTCCTTCAGCCTTTCCCATGGAGGGTGGTGGCTTGGACACTTTTCTGCACTTTCCTATGATGTCCGCCCTGGCGGATTCACTTCTCTGGGCCTTTAAATTCCCTCCTCTCATACCTACCTCGGAAGTTCTGGGTGTTCTGTGTCATGCAATGTGGGCCATGCCTTCTTCTAAGCTTCCAAGGCCCATCCTACTCGAGATGAGCAGCATCTCCCCGGACCTTGCCTAGTCCCATGACCTGTAACTGTACACTCTCCCTTCTCCAACTCTGGGTTCTCTGTTCATCCATCCTCAGTCTGATCAGATTCCTCAGAAGCAGCCCCTTCAGGCTCTCCATGTCCCCACAGGACGCTGAGCTGGATTCCGACGATCCTCTGGCTTCTAAGCTTTTCCTCCCACAGCCACCCGGCACGTCTCTGGAAAGGTTATGTGTCGGCTGATGCTGGGTACCGACCTGGTGGACAAGGGGATATATCCAGCATGTGTGATTTCTTGCCAGGCGGGGGCCGCCTCCTCCTCCCCAAAGAAGAGGGGACACTGGCCTGTAACTGGTGGGAGGAGGGCCAGGCAGGGGCAGTCTTTGCTCTGCCAGCCCAGCCCCAGTTTTTTTTGCTGTCACCAAGAAGGGGGAGGGTGCATGGGTGCTTTCCTGCCAACCTCAGCCCTCACTGGCATTTTTCCTTCACAGCTTCTCACTTACTTTCCTATAACTTCACCATCAGTCCTAATCCCAGACCGGGACAGCCATGGTGTGTGGTTCAATGCCAGGTGGACAAAGAGCATTTTCTCTCCTATGACTGTGGCGCTGCTAAGATCCAATCCATGAGTCTCCTGGGAGAGAAAGTAAAAGACACAAAGTATTGGAAAGGACAGATGGAAACACTCAGAGATGCTGGGCACTTGCTCAAAGAGCAATTGCCTGACATTGTGCCGGAGGAACACACTCTCAGGGGTAAGTCAGAAAGTCTGGGTGCACAAGGGAGCAGATTGTGGGGTTAGATTCCTTCATTGTATTCGGGTAAAAAACAAAATAGAATTGGATGTTGGTCCTTCCCCAGTGGGCAGCAGAAAGAACAGGCCTTGAAGGAGAGAACAGCACCAGATTAGATGGGCCCAAGGGAGGCAGGCACCAGGTGGGGGCAAAGAATATGTCAAAACTGGAAGCTGACCTCTTTCCCATGGTGGGGGGCAGATCTTCTGACCCTGCAGGGTATGATGACATGTCACATTGAAGCTAATGGACACACCAGTGCATTCTGGTGCTTTGGCTTCCGTGGCCAGATGTCTCTCACCTTTGATTCGGTGAATGGAAACTTGACAATGAGTCATGTTGAAGGCAGAAGGATGAAAGAGAGATGGGAGCACGACAGGGATGTGACCAAGTTCTTCGAGAATACCTCCATGGGCGATTGCAGGACCTGGCTTATTCATTTCTTGAACCACTGGGAAGAGATGCTGAAAACAACAGGTAAGGGTCGGGGAGGACATGATTGTCCTATCCACATGACATTGACCTGCCCCTCTGTGTGTGTGTGAGTGTCTTTGAGAAAGTGATTCATCTGCCTTGAGTTGTTCATGGGAGAACACGGGGATGGTCCAGCATCCTTCCTTTCTCTTCTCACCTCCTGACTCTCTTCCTCACAGCACAGGCTCTGGACCATTCACCGTGGATTCTTGCTGACCCCACACATGACGGCATGATTCTGATTACAGAGATTTACTTCTTATTTTTCCCTGTCTCCAGAATTTTTTTAAAATCTCACCTGCTCTATTTCTGCAAATCCACCAATATGACCTCAGATGTCAGCTCCTGAGGGGACTTCTCTGATCACACTGTCACGTGTCACCTCCTCTTCTTTCATAGCAGGAGTGGGTGGTAATACTATACCCCTTGTTGGCCCGATTAGCTGTCTGATCCTGGTGGAGACACAGCTCTTCCCTCTCCCTCTTTCTACGTCAGGACCCAGCACCAGGGCTGCCATGTGGTGGGTTAGAACTGTCTGCATAGGAGGGGTACCTGGGCCAGGAGCGCTGAGGAGGCATCTCCTCCGTTTTGGGGTCTGAACAAGGGCTTTCACTCTTCCTCTCCTCTGCAGCATCACCAACCATGGCCACCCACACAACCACGTCCAGGGCCATAGCTGTCACGCCCGCGGCCTGCCTCCTCTTCATGGTCTTCACCTGCTTGCTCATAATTGGCTGAGTCCTTTTCACTAACAGGTACTGAGGGCAGAATTCAGGGGGAAGGAAGGGGCAGAGGGCCTAGTGTGGGGATAGGAAGAGGTGAATCCCAGCCCAACCCCTGCCCCCTCACTGACCTTTTTCATCCTGGAAATGAAACCAGGTGGAAAAGACCTCATACCTCTCAATAGCCATAACTTGGACAAATTCAGCCCTGAGTGCTGATAACTCCTAAGTATCGGATGACAGTGGAAAGGGGAAGGGCCCTCACCAAGGCTTAGAGTCTGTTGATGCTAAAGTGGTTTAGCAAAGTCAGCCTGAGTCAGCACAGGCACCTGTCTGGCAGGGCCCCGTGGGAGGTGGTGTGGGGTCAGCAGGCACACAGGGCACAGGCAGGACTCACACTTGGGTCAGAGCAGTGTGGCTGTTCCATGTGACGTGTCAGGGGGAAGGGGACACATCCAGGAGGCTAAGAGGAGAGGGGCCTGGGTCTTATCCCAAGAGGAAGGGGCGGGAAGGCTTTGCAGATCCAACGCCAAAGGCCGGAGTTTGGTTCTGGTTCCCATGGAAAGTGGCTTAGGTCACAGCAGACAAGGCAGAAGGCCGTCCATACAGACCGTGCAGTATGGAATTAGGAGGAGGCCAGTTCTCCGTGGAGCAACAGGAATTCTGACTCCGCATATTGCGTGCAGCTGGCACCAGCCTCCTGCAGACTCCAGGCTGAGCCCTGGAGCAGCCCCTGCTGTGGGCAGACGTGACTCAGGAGACGGGTGGGACTGAGCTGCAGTGGATGCTCCCAGCTGGGCTGGACCAGAAATAGATGGGACCAGGGCAGGGACCATCATACTGACAGGGATTCAGGCTGCTAGCTAAGAGGCTGGGAGAGAAGGGAAGAGACTCAGGCTTGCCTGCAGCCCTCCCTGAAGCTCTCAGGGTGGAAGGCCCCTCTCCATCACAACTGCCACCAGGTCCTTTAGGCCCTCCATCAGGGGAGGATCAGGACCCAAGGAAAGAGGGCAGACTGACTCATTACTGGCTTCAGTCCTGAGCCCAAGCCCAGATATCAGGGCCTGAAGCTGATTCTGTGATGCAGTAAAGGAGAGAAGAGGTTAGGACAAGCTGCTGGACCCAGCATGGGGTGGGAGGGTGGAGAAATCACATGCCCCTCAGTGAGGGTGGGGCTGGAGGTGGGGAGAGACTCGGGAAGGGTAACCCCAGGAAACTGACAGGATTTCCTCAGCCACGTGGACCAATACCTGTTTCCCTTCTGAAGGCTCATGGTGCTACCACGAAACCCCTGACGGGGTGATCTGTCTCAGAGACTCTGCCTTTTGCTTGGCCACCTTTGATCTTCTGCCGTTCATCTTAGACCACCACAGATTCACACCCTGCAAATCCCAGGGCTACCAGCCGATCCCGATGACACAGTAGATGTACCATCTCATGTCCTTTTTCAATTTGGTGACTGCTCTACTCAGAACATTTTTTCTAAAACATTTTGCCACATTCTCTTGGTGCTACTAATGGAATTCCTGCACTGAAACATTCAAATGTTTGAACAAGGAATCACAACAAACAGGACCTTTTCCATCTTCTTCTAGTTTGTGGAAAACCAGACTCTTCTCTGCATCTCGTGACCTTGTTCTTGCAAATGATGATGCTACGAGAAAAATAACATGTGCTGCTTATTACAGAACCTCAGGAATTCTTTCTGTGTCTGGGGAAACAATGTGAAGGTATTTAAGAAGAATAAAATTTTATTTTTGATTATATCTATTAATTTATTACACTAGATGTAATTCCTTCAGATTTCTGTTGTATCTTTTGGTCAACTAATCTTCGCCAAAGGAGGCAAGAATATACAATGGAATAAAGACAGTTTCTTCAGCAAATCGTGTTGGGAAAACTGGGCAGCAGCATTTAAAACAATGAAGCTAGAACACTCCCTTACACCATACACAAAAATAAACTCAAAATGGATCAAAGACTTAAACATAAGACAAGATACAATAAACCTCCTAGAGGAAAACATAGGCAAAACATTATCTGACATACATTTCAAAAATTTTCTCCTAGTAGAAATAAAAGCAAGAATAAACAAATGGGACCTAAT